GGCCCCTCGCCGCCGCCCCCTCGCTCCGGCGGAGACGCGCCCCGGACACCTGCGCGCCAAGGGCGCCCCGAAAGGAGCGCGTCACGCAGATGAGTCTGGACACACGCGAGGCGTCGGCCCGAGGGGAGGGAAGGGAGCAAGAGGGGAGCCTGGCGGGCCATCTTAGACCGAGGCGAGGGTCAAGGGAGGCGTCTCTGAGGAGGGGGCGTCCGGACCGAGCCGTGAAGGACGAGGGGGGCGCGCCGGCCCTGGGAAGGGTCCTCCTGCGGGCGGAGGAGGGAGCGGCCAGTGCAAAGGCCCCGGGGCAGGGTCCCGACCGGTCCTGGAGGAACGGTGCGGAGGAGGCCTCTGGCTGGAGCGGTGGCGGGGCGGGGGCAGGAGGGAGGGAGGTTAAAAAGACAGGCGAGGGGGGAGGGGAGGAAGACTTGGGCCTTTACTCCCAGGGAGATGGGACCCCTGGAAGGCTGTGGGCATTGGAAGGAAGTGACTGGAGTTTACGCTTGTTACCCATTTATTCCCTTATTTCCTTCGAGACACATACAACAAGCACCTAGTCTGGGTGTGGGCTGGTCTGGGCAGTGCTGGGCAGCAGAGAAGTCTCAACCTAGGGTCCTGCCCTCGGGAGGTCTCCCGGTTGGGGAGGTGGGGACACAGAGCAGGACACAGACACTCCCGGCCCTGTGCACTCAGGGCTTGAGAAGGAGGAGCTCCCAGGCTGGGAAAGGCGAGGAGGTGGGGATGGCTTCCCAGATGGGTGGGCATCGGAGCTTGGGCTTTGGCAGATGAGTAGGAGTTCAACGCTCCCACTAAGGAGGCACCTGCCCGCGGTCACCAACTATTAGCTCGATGTGTGCCTAGTGGGGAGAAACGGGAGTCAAGACTTATGGCCAGTATCAACCACAAGAGGCTGTGAGCAGGGGTCGCCTACCCCCAATTCCTTGCTTGTTCTCTCCCCCCCCCCCCCCCCACCTTGCAATCCTTTCTCAGGCCCAGCTGGCCTCTGCAGTCACACTGATCCAAGCGCCCTCTTCCCAAAAGCCTTCCCCGATTGCTGCCTGCCCCTACCCACTGTCATACCTGCCAGGACAGAACTGACCGGTTCTGGTATCCAGGATTCTGGCTTGACCTCAATGACTCTAAGTCTGTACTTAGAAGCCAGTTTCCCTGGGCTCCCTGGGAAGTCCTGCTCCAGCAGTGGCTGGGAGGGCAGGAGAGAGGCTGAGGCCAGCACAAGACAGAGTGTGGGCTCCAATCCTGACCCTGCCTCTTGGAAGTTCCTGAGGAAGGGACGTACCCTCCCTGGTCCTGGAGGTCCCCATCTATCCAGTGGGAATTGCTATGAGGATACATTGCTGGGGGTGAAGTACTTAGAATATTCCTGAAGCACAGTCGCTCACTAATTGGCTATGCTGAGGGAGTAGTCACAGAGAAGTGCGATTTGACTCCTCCAAGAAAAGCAGATGGAAACAAAAATAGCAAACAGAAAAGTCACCTGCTCAGTGACAGATGGGGTTCCAGGTATAGGATTTAAAAAGAAAGAAAAAAAAAAAAGCTTCTCTTAATTGTCACCTGGTGCGATCATCTCCCATTTTACAGGTGAGTAAACTGAGGCCCAGAGAGGCTGAGTGACTTCTCTGAGGATCCACAGTGAAGAGTGGCAGAACCACAACCCTAGCCAAGTGCTCGCTGGCCACCTAACTTCATGAATCACGCCACTGTGCACTTGCTACCCAGCGTGGTACACAGTCATCGGATTTCAGATGCAGATTTTAAAAGCGACTAAAAGCAAAATAAATTTCAGGTGGGTCCCCATCCCCTGAATGTGCCTCCCCCCTGCAAAAAAAAAAAAAAAAAAAAAAAAAAAAAAGACAGAGGCTATAAGACTACTAGAAGAGAACATGGGAGTTCAAAATAATAACAGTCCCAGTGTGTTGAAGCATGACATTAAGCCTGAAGCCTTTAATTAAAAGATTAGTAATTGATGGCATACAAATATAAAATTCCTGCGTGTGCACGTGTGTGCACACATCACACATCCTAGGTCAATAGACAAAGTTAGGAAAACCTTTCCAAGACATGCTAGATGAAAAGCTGATTTCCTTAATATGTAAAAAGCTCCCAGAAATCAATAAGTAAGGGCCAACAACCCAATAGAAAAAGCAGCAAAAGACAGTCTTTGGAAAGGAAATATGCATGTCTTCTAAGCATATGAACGGAGCTTCTTTTCACTCACAGTAAACGAAATGTAAAATGAAACTACCACAAAATACCCTTTAAAAAAAAACCGAAATCTATCGAGTTGCTGGAGATGAGGAAGTTTGATCGTTGACCATGTTGCTGGGCCCAGCTTTGGGAGAAGGGCAGGCTCACGCCTTGGGGTTCGCAGTGCGAAATGGCATAATCTCTCTAGTGACAGCTACTGAAACGACAAACCAGCCGTATGTCCCTTCTGGTAGTCTGTCCACGGGCCCGAGGGCAGAGTATCGCACAAGCGCTGAGCCATTTACGCGTAACCCGCAGCAAACTGTGAGGCCGAGCCCATAGGTCAAAGGAGAGAAACTAAGGCCCACAGAGCAGAAATGGGAGAACGAGCACCCAGGCTGGTGCGCCCTCTTTCTAGGGCAGGTGGACGGGCCGGCTCGACCGGCACCCCGGCCCCGGCCACCTCCCTTGTCAGGCTAAGCTTCAGGCTCTCCCATCGCACCCGCTGGTGTCTCAAACAGGTCAGAGCGAGGCCCAGGGACGCTGGGAGCATACGGAGGCCAAGCCAGCCACGCCGGGCCCTGTGAGTGTTGGGTGCCAGTTCCAATTAATTCTGACTTTCTCATTAAGCCGTTAGGAAAGTCAGGTGGCTGTGGGCAGTAGCCCTCTGCCTGGGCCGCCGGATTAAAGGGATCATGGTTTCTGCCTCAAAACACTATATTATCTGTCACGGGCGATTATAGGAGACCCAGGCGGACAGTGACAAGCTCAGAGAATCCCTGGGAAGCTCAGAGTCGTGGGACCGCTGAAATTGTGGACTCCCAGAATCTTGGAATGCCTGGCGTTCTAGACCCGCAGAATACATCCCCCCGAACGTTCCAGAATTGGAGAGCGATGGCCACTGAACCTGGCATCACAGAATTCTGGAATCCCAGATGCTCTTGTGATGCGGAAGAGATTTCTCCCCTGGTTTTATCCCCTTGCATCGGGGGTCTCTCACACTGGAAGCCCAGAGGCTGAACCTGGTTGGCGTGTGCGTAATGCTTCTGAAAAAAGATCTGGGGAGTGAGAGTTTCCACGTAAGCAGTCGGAGCTCCATTGGTGTCCCTAGACCAAGTGGCAGCCGTGGGCGCTCTGTGGCTGCGTTCTCTACCGCCCCTAAAAGGTCCCGTTCACTCCTTGACCGACCCCTGAAGGGCGCGTTGGCTCTCACTGGACCAGTGATAGTACTCACTTTGGTTCTTCATTTTACGACCAAGAAAGTGAGTTCCAAGGGGCAGCTTTTTGCTAAGGTCCCCCCCTGCCCCCCAGGGAAAAAAATCACGTTCTCAGCGCCACATCAGAAGGCAGGGGCAGAGCCCCTGGAACGCGGCAGGAGTGAGCGAACGAGAGGGCTCAGGCGCCTCTCTAGCTGGGAGGCAAAGGGAGAATGTGGTGTGGGGGTAGGAATGGCTTTGTGAAGGGCATGGGACGGAGTTTGGATTTTCTTCTAAGGGCAGTGGGGAGCCATGGGAGGGTTGGAAGCAAGGGAATGGCATGATCTATTCTATGCATTAGAAAACACCCTGACAGTGCTGAGTGCGTCTCAGAAGATGGATACATTGATCCTTAGCTAGGAAAGGCCTTGCCTCAGGTCAGGGTGCCCTCCATAGCTACCACTTCTTGGACCTCTGGCCCCCCCCCCAATAAAATTTCATCACTAGGAGGTCTGGCAAATGAGGGCTCACGACGGTCTCTGCTGGTAAGTTGTGTTATTCTAGTCTAGCTCTCTTGTGGCATCCTTCATATATAAAGAGCTGTCAGAAACAAATAAGAATAGAGAGACACATGCAAAGAACATGGATGTTACTTTGGACGCCCAGAAGATGTAGGCGGGAAATTATGAAAGACAGGCTCACATACAAAAGTGTTTAATCTTCTAGAATTCTCCCACTCTTATATTTGAGAAAGATATCTGATCCCTGATAATATTTGACTTTTCGAGGATGCAAGGCAATGGGTACTCATGTCCATTGCTAGTGTAAGTTAGTACCATCTTTCTGGAAGGCAAGATGGCTAAGTGTATTGAAAGCCTTTGATGGATAATAACCAACGATAATAACTCACTTCTGTTGAGTAACAGATCGACTTCACTTATTATGTCCCCCCCACTTGAACAGAAGCTCCCCTGGGGCGAGGATTTTTGTGTGTTTTGCTCACTGTTGGGTCCCCAGTGCCACTAACAGCACCTGGATCTGATTTATATACCCAGCACGGTCTAGACTACTCATTTTTCTGTGCACTGGAGTTTGAGAACCACTGAGCTAGACTTCACCAAAAAGGAAGTTTGGTGCGGAGAGATATCTGAGCATCCACTGTATTTAGGTCTTTTAAGACAACCAGTGGGGGCGCCTGGGTGGCTCAGTCGGTTAAACGTCCGACTTCAGGTCACGATCTCGCGGTTCGTGAGTTCGAGTCCCGCATCGGGCTCTGTGCTGACAGCTCAGAGCCAGGAGCCTGCTTCGGAATCTGTGTCTCCCTCTCTCCCTGCCCCTCCCCTGCTCATGCTCTGTCTGTCTCTCAAAAGTAATAAATAAACGTTAAAAACAAAATTTTAAAAATAAATAAAAGACAACCAGTGAATCCCTAGGAGTGGCAGGGAGGATTTTCAGGGCCTCCCACTGACCCCACAGCTTAATGGATGTGCTTGTCATTCTAAGGAATAAGTGGATGATTTCTGACGCTTACTGGTCCATAGGCTGGGCCAGACTGTGTCCAAAGAGCTTCACAAACACTCAGCTCAGTCGCTTCATAGCGAAGCTCTACGTTAGGTGCTAATGTTTAGGCCCATTTTACAGATGAAGAAACTGAGCCCCCGGCATGAAAGCAGTGTCCCAGCAAGGGCCTGGCACAGAGTAAGTGCTTAGGTTTAGTAGAACCGAAATCGAACTCAGTCAGCGTGTGAACACGAGTTCCTAGCTCTCTGGGAAGCGTGTCTTCTAGGGGCCTGTGAGAGACTGCGGTCCCATGGAGCATCCGCAAATGCTCCCTAGGTTCAGCGCTTGGATTCCCTGGGTGACTCAAACAGAAGTGGTCGTGGCAGGTTTCCGGTGTCGTGGAGACGTGCTGCATATAGTCACCCCCCCCCCCCCCCCCCCCGCCGCCCCAAGACAAACACAGACACCACAGCCCCTGGGACATACACACACCTCGAGGCAAAGAGGCCTGCTAGGTACATACCCCAAGACAAATACACGCACGCCCACCCACATGAAAACACACACTTAGACGCACACATACCCCAGACCAATGCAAACACACACCCCAAGATAGACACACGCAGGCCGGGGCCTTGGCCTGACCTGGCCGGGTTAGGGAGGCTCTGGACAGCCTGGATCCCAGCCCTGGCTTCAGCCCCCACCTCTGTGCCTTCACCCTGGGGCCCAGAGCCACCCGCTAGGACGGGGGCGGACTGGGGTGGGGGTGGGGGACCAGTGCAGGAGCCGCTGGCAGAGAGAAAGGAGCAGGCGGGGCAGGCAGGCCAGCTGAGGGCACAGAGCGCGGCTCTTGGGCGCCACCCGGTGGGCATGGGGGGCAGGGGGCACGGCACCCCCTCAACTCCACAGTTTTGCAGGTCTGTGGGTGTCTCTGGGCCCGTGGGGGGGGCCTTTGTCTCTGAGTCTGTGTCCCTTTCTCTCTGTGTCTCGCTCAGCCTCTGTCTCCCCTTTTGCTCCCTCTTCCTCCCCTCCCCGCGTGCCTCCCCCTGCCTCTGGAGCCCCAGCCCTCCTCCACAGAGGAGCCTGAGGGCCTCCGACGACCCCTCCCTACCCACCCCTCTTATCAGCAGCATCTCCCGTCCCCGGTCCTCCGATGGCATCTTGGCCCTTCCTGTCACCCATGGGCTGCAGCATGACTCAGTCCAGGTGGGGTGGGGTGACCGACCTCGTCAGCTTTGCCAGCCCGCCGCTCCCACAGCCTCCGTTCTGGTCTCCGGGGAGGCGACCGCATCTACGCCCTCCGCCAGAGCCTGGTGCAGGAACCCACCTTGGCTCACGCTTTCCTTGGGGCTGGCCGGGGAGGGGCACGGGGACGATGAGGATTTGAACGCCCTAAGCCAGGAAGGGCCTAGAGAGACAGTGACGGTCACCCTTGAACCCTGCGAGGAGGACAGGGGTCTCAACTGCCGAAAACCCACCATGGACCCCCCGCCCCCCCCCCCCCCGCCATTGCCCACGGGCCTGCTCCCTGGCCAGCCCAAGCCTCAGAGCCCAGTCTGACCCCAAGGTCCCCAAGCTTTTCACTCTGTTCCTTTGAGGTGCCACACCCTTTCCCCCCGGGGGGATTCTGCGCATTCTGTTCCCTCCCCAGATGCCCTTCCGGTCACCTCCTCCAGGAAGCCGGCCTCACCCCACCCGCTGCTTGAAGCCATCTGTTGAACATCAGAAAGCAGGTCTGTCTCAGTCACGGTCATGGCGGTGTCCCTGGCACGGAGCCCAGCTCACAGGAAGGGTCCGGGAAGCGTTTGCTAAACAGAGGAGGGAAGGGTTCAGGGCTGTGCCTTCGAGCCCAGATGTTTCTTCTTGCCTTGCTGGGGAGACTCTGGCCGAGTGGGTTGCTTCCCGCTCTGCGCCCTCTTTCCCCGGGATGGGGAGTGAGGGGAGGTTTTCTGGGCCACTGGTGAAATCTACCCTGCTGGGTTTCATTTCAGCAGAGTCGGTAAATATTTGGTCCTCTGCGGCCAGCAGCATCTAGGCGGGGGAAGCTTCAGTGCCTTTTACGAGCCTTCCCGCAGGCGCCTAACGCGAGGTTTCCGTGGCGGGGTATGTGGGACGCCCAGGCAGCGTCACAGCTGGCTGCCGTGAGGTGGGTAGGACTGTGGGGCCGCAAGAAGCCACCAGAGGCGTCTGGCACTTAACCCCGCGCCGTGCGCGGCATCGGGAGGCCAGACCCGGGCCTCTCGTTTTGCAAACGGCTAATGCCACATCATGAGATGACAGGCGGGGTTGAAGTGGAGACTGAGCAGCATCCCCTCCCAAGTCCGAAGGACATACTGAATCCTTAGGGGGAGGTATTTCCGGCAAGGAGGTGGAAGGCCTTGTGTACGTGTAGCTCTTCTCGAAGAATCAAAGGCCACTCTTGACCATCAAAGGCGAAGCACCTGCTGTGTGCGGAGTACTGAGCAGTGTAAATGCCCCGCCTCCTTGGGTCCTCAGAAATCACGCAGCCCCTGTTACACTGACACAAGTCAGAGGGGTTCAAGGTAACTGGCTTGAGGTCACCCAGCTGGCGAGGGGCAGAGCTGTTGAGTCTGACCTTCCGGCCTGGCTTGGTCTCATCACCCAACCCTCCCCGGCAAGGGCCACCGTCTGGATACCCTGGAAACCACGGCGCTTCTCAATGGTCAGGATCCCAGGGGCGACTGGAAGGAAGGCCTGAATCAGACCAGCAGTTCTGAGTTGGGGCCTGGGAACCTGCACGGGGAAGCTGGCATCTGCCTCCGCCCCAGGTAACTCTTGCTAGAGTCCCTTCACAGAAACGGCAGCCTCTTTACTGCATCCGTCCGAACGCGTTTGCAGTGTCCCCTCTGAATCTCGGGGGAGACTGCCACCTGCTGTTTCCTGAGGACGCCACTGAGACGTGAGGGTTTGAGGGCCCCCATCAGTCACTAAACTGGGGGAACTTGCCACCAGCCCTTGAGAGAGACCCCACAGGCCAAACAAGGGGTCAAGCATTTGGAAAACTTGAAAATACAAGATTATTGTGTAGTTTTATTCCTCCTCTCCGAGACTCGATGAGCGTTTAGTGTGTGTCTGCCATTGCCCAGGTGTATTGGCCGTATCTTTATTTTCTGCTGTTTGATGCTTTGACACTGGGGGCCTTACTCACCCTGGAGGCACAGCCCCTCCCGGGGACCAGCTAATTCCGAGATAGCAAACGACCCACCGACCCACCCTGGACTGCCTCTCACATGCAGACTGACCCATCACAGAGCCCAAGCCCCAACTCTGTCCTCTGGAGGCTGTCCCACTCAGGGCCAATGTCCCCCTGCCCTATCACCCCAGGGCCCAGGACCACACAACTAGGCCATTCCCTACACCCCAGAGCCCTCTGGCCTTACTCAGACTAGCAGTCCTGGGCCTGCTGACCCGGCTTCACTGTTCCTGCTGGCCGAAACCACAGTAAAGTCCTTGTCCACTCTGTGCCCCCCTGCACCCCCCAACCCCCGCCCCCTCCGCCTGACTGACCCGGGCACTTCCCCGTGTGGCCCTGCACGCCCCCACCCCTGCTCCTGCTGTGGCATCAGTGAGTAACGACCTTCCTATGTGTTTATTTATTTATTTATTTAATGTTTATTTTTGAGAGTGAGTGGGGTAGTGACAGAGCCATCCGACGGGGACAGAGGATCCGAAGCAGATTCTGTGCTGACAGCAGAGAGCTCAATGTGGGGCTCAAACCCACGAGCTGTGAGATCATGACCTGAGCCGAAGTCAAGTGCTTAACCGACTGAGCCACCCAGGTGCCCTTATCTATTTATTAAAAAAAAAAAAAAAAATTATTAAAAAAATTTTTTTAATGTTTTTATTTACTTTTGAGACAGAGAGAGACAGAGCAGGAGCAGCGGAGGGGCAGAGAGAGAAGGAGACACAGAATCCGAAGCAGGTTCCAGGCTCCGAGCTGTCAGCACAGAGCCCGACGCGGGGCTCGAACCCACGAGCCGTGAGATCGTGACCTGAGCCGAAGTCTGACGCTCAACTGACTGAGCCACCCAGGCGCCTCGACCCCTATTTATTTTTTTAAAGTAATCTCTGCACCCAACGCAAAGGGCTCGATCTCACCACCCCCAGATCATGAGTCGCACACTCTACCACTGACCACGCCAGCTGCCCCAGACCATCTTTGCAGCGGCGGTCGTCCGCTGATCTGCTGGCCTCGTCAGCCCTGAAGCACAATGGAACCTACGTCTTGAAACGCCTGCCGCTGGAGACACAGCTGAGAACGAGACAGCGAATGCCTGCGGACGTTGACATTCTGGTGCCGGCTGCGGACAGAACGCGAGGACAGGCAGGTGTGACAGTGACCAGGTGGGAAGGGAGACCTCGGGGTGGGTGGAATCTGAGCCCCGACCTTCAAGGTCGGAAGGGGCGGTCGGCGTGGCCAGTGCCACGGCACGGCCCTCACTTCACTGGATCCTGTCCTGAGAGCTTCCCGCGGAGCAGGACGGGGTCCCGTTGGGCCAGGATTTGCTGCCGGAGGCGACACTGGTGGCAACAAGTAACGAGCCAGTAGCAAGCCAACAGCCACGGGCCATCCTGCTGCTCCCGGTCACCTGCCTTTCCGGGAGTGATCTGGGGTCCTCAGCACTGCTTTCACCTTCGCGGGGGCCACTTCCAGCCCCGATGGCATCAGGGACACCGGAAGTTACCCTTGAGGTCAACTCCAAAGGTGAGGCGCACACACAGAGTAGCGAGTCACCCTCGAGTCCGGCCTGCAGGGAGGAACTGTCACTTCAGAACCACGTGACCTCAGTACGTGGCCCCCGCATCCCGGGGTGGACCCACGAGCAAGTGTCTGTCGGGCGCTGTCAGGCTGCGAGGAGGTCCTGGATTCCCAGGGGGGTCCAATCTGATGACACGAACCCTTAAACTTGGAGGCTCTTCCCTGCCTGTGGTCGGAGAAGGGACTCCGGCAAGGCCGGGCTCTGTGGATGGAGGAGGGGCGGGGACAGGGCACGGGAGGGGGACCTGGAAACCCAGGGCACCTGTTCCTGTGCCGCAGCCTCCCCAAGGAACCGGCCCTGCCCCCCCTGAAGTGTGGGGCTTCTGGCCTCCAAAACCAGGGGATGATGAGTTGGTGCTGTTTCGAGTGACTAAGTTTGTCGTAATTTGTTAGGGCAGCTGCAGGAAAAAGCACACACCCAGTTATCCTGCAAGTATTGTGTGAAACGCTCCAATCCCAAAATGAGACAGCACTCTGGGGACAGGAGGAGATCACCGTGGCTGAGAACCCGGCGCCCAGCGAGCAGAGGCTGCCAGCACACGGGGTGGGGTGGGCCTGCTGTGGCCATCCATCAAATCCTGCCTGGATGAAGGCAGCACACACCCCTTTGAGACACAGGAAAGCAGTGGGCTCCAGAAGGGGTGAGTCACTTTCCCAAGGACACACAGCTCCAAAGGCGGAGCTGAGCTGTGGACCCACCTGACGAGGTGACAGCCCAGATTCAAACCATGACTCACCATCCTGTGACCATATGACTCAAGAGGGGGGGGGGGACCTTCCCCGGGGGGGGGTGGGGCCCGGGGGGGGGGGGAGATGGGGGGCACGCCACCAGGAGTATTGGTGGAGGCCCCACCCCTCACCCCCGGAAAGCCGCTTTATTTTTTGAAAATTTTTTCAATGTTTATTTTTGAGAGAGAAACAGAGCATGAGTGGGGGAGGGGCACAGAGAGAGGAAGACACAGAATCCGAAGCAGGTTCCAGGCTCCGAGCTGTCAGCACAGAGCCCGACGCGGGGCTCAAACCCACGAACCGTGAGATCATGGCCTGAGCTGGAGTCGGACGATTCACCGACTCAGCCCCCCAGGCGCCCCTCCGGCAAATCGCTTTGGAGGCACTATGTCCCCACTAGCTGGCGACTTTTGTGTCCGTATTTTTTAAGAAAAAACCCAAAGGGCTTTTTATAACTTTGTGTTTGAGATTTTTTTTGACTAGAAGTAACACACACAATTTAAGACTGGCAATCATCATGCAGGCTTGGGAATTCCTGCAAAGTGAGAAAATTTCACCTAGCAACTGTTTTGAAATGTAATGAAATCTGTATGAGTACAAAATTTAGCAGTTGATGAGGTTGACACATTTTTGTAGACGTGGAGACATTTGATAAGGTATTAATTCTGATTTGGGTTTTATTTGGGGAGCTGATAATCTCTTTCTTCCTTCTCCCCAGGCCTCAAAACTTCTTCCAGGTTCTCTGAACAGCACGAGCAAGCACCCCAGGACCTTTTCCTGAAGGGCCTCCCAGTGCCTGTCAACATTAAGCACTTACTGTATGCCAGCAACAATTCTGAGTTTTTCACGTATTTGACTAACTTAATCTTCACAAAGACTCTTTATGGTTTTCTTCTTCCAGGTAAGGAGGCCAAAGCAGAGGGACCATGAACTCCCTGCGGGAAGACAAGGCAGATGGGGCGGATCCTGAGCCCGCCCTCCTGGCCTCCACACCCAGTGCTTCCTGCTCCGATGGTAACCCACAGAACCCCCATCTTCAAAAGATACTTTTAGTGGCCCTGGGCGGCTCAGTCGGTCAAGTGTCTGACTTCGGCTCAGGTCATGATCTCGTGGTTCGTGGGTTCGAGCCCCGCGTCGGGCTCTGTGCGGACAGCTCGGAGCCTGGAGCCTGCTTCGGATTCTGTGTCTCCCTCTCTCTCTCTGATCCTCCCCTGCTCGCGCTCGGCGTCTCTCTCTCAACATTTTTTAAATTGTGATCAAATACACATAAAATGTAACCATTTCTAAGTGCACAGGTCAGCAGCACCAAGCACATTCACACTGTCGTGCAGCCACCCCCACCAGCCGTGTCCAGAACTTTCCATCTCCCCAAACTGAGACTCTGTCGCCATGAAGCACTGACTCCCCGCCGCCGCCCGCGCCCCCCCCCCCCCCCCCCCCCGGCTCCCACCATCTACTCTGTGCCTTTGCGGACGGGACTCCTCTGGGGACCCCCTGTGCGTGGGGTCACGCGGGATGTGTCCTTCTGTGTCTGGCTCCTGTCCCTGTGCACAGTGACCTCCAGGGCCGTCCACGTGGTGGCAGTTCAGTGCATGGATGGACACAGTTTATCCTTACCACTGCACACGACTGTCATAAACCCCAGAAAACCCGTGTTGGTGACGTGGAAAAGGCGCAACTTTTCCACATCGTGGAAAACAGGTGGTTCCTCCAAAGTTAAACACAGAATTACCATAGGAGCCAGCAATCCCATGCCTAGGCACCTACCCAGAATGGGAAACGTGCGCGAGCAAATACACGTGCTCCGGCCTTCACCGTAAGCAATGTTCACAGGAGCCGAAAGTGCAAACAATCCCCGTGCCCACTAGCAGGCCCCTTCTAGAACACACGCCTGGTTCCACCTCCCTTGTCTCCTGACATAAAAATCAGACCTAATAGAACCCAACTACAATGAGAAAAAAATACGATGCTTGGGGCGCCTGGGTGGCTCAGTCGGTTAGGCGGCCGACTTCGGCTCAGGTCAAGATCTCGCGGTCCGTGAGTTCGAGCCCCGCGTTGGGCTCTGTGCTGACAGCTCGGAGCCTGGAGCCTGTTTCAGATTCTGTGTCTCCCTCTCTCTGACCCTCCCCCGTTCATGCTCTGTCTCTCTCTGTCTCAAAAATAAATAAATGTTAAAAAAAAAAATAAAAAATAAAAATACAATGCATTTCAGACACAAACAGAAGAAGAGACTATCACTGCTCAGGGGCAGGGCCCAGTTATAGTGCGAACGTGACCTGGTGCTCAAGTTGCACGCGGGCGCACAGCTCCGATCCTGGATGGAGGCGGCTGGGAGGCATTTAGACTCCAGCAGCCCCAGCAGCTCTGGTCACAGAAATGGGGAACTCTTGGGAAGGTCCTGGACTCAAGTGTTGAGCAATGCTCCACTTGCCCAGAAGTCACGTCCCAGAGGGGACGCCTGGGTGGCTCGGTAGGTTTAAGTGCTCGACTCTTGATTTCAGCTCAGGTCATGATCTCAGGGTTCGTGAGATCAAGCCCCAAGTTGGGCTCTGTGTTGCCAGTGCGGAGCCTGCTTGGGATTCTCTCTCTGTCCCTCCCCGGCTTGTGCTCGCTTGAAGCAAATAAACTAAAAAAAAAGGAAGTTGCATCCTGGGAAGATCTGTATGTATGAAAACCGTGAGGAGCACTTACGGGGGGTAAACTCTGCCAACCCCGTTGCTGTGCCGAAACGCTGGCCTCCAGGGCCTCAGAACGCTACTGTATTTGGGGACAAAGCCCTTATGTGAGTGATGGAGTTAAAATGAGGGCATTCGGGTGGGCCCCAACCCACGTGACCAGCGTGCGCACAGCAAGGGGCAATTTGGCCAAGGACACGCGCACAGGGAGGCCGATGGCAGAGGCGGAGCTCAGGGTGACGTGTCGACAAAGCCAAGGGACGCCGAAGATGGTCAGCGACCCCCCAAAAGCTGGGCGAGCGTACGGAACGGACTCCCTCTCAGCCTCGTAAGGAACCGGCCCAGACGACACGGGGACTTCCGGCCTCCAGAACCGTGAGAGAATAGACTGGTCTCAAAGCACCCCGTTTGCGGCACTGTGTTCCCGCAGGCCTAGCAAACGCTGCATCCGTGTAAGCCAGACCCAGGCTGCAGGCTCGGCTGACTAGGAAGGGGCTGTTCTCGCCCCCGTGGCCCTCCGAGGCTCCCCTGGGGCAGCTCGGCAGCGGTGCCCGGGCTGAGGGCCACGGGTCACACCCTCGGTCACCCTTTCCCCCTGAAGGGCGGTCGCCCAACTGCAGCCAGGTGACAAGATCTCAAAACGGGTCTCACCCACACCCCCAGGCTGGGTATGGCTTTGATCACCCAACATGGGAAGCTCAGACCCGTTTCTAGACTCTGACTTGCAGAGAAGAGACGGGGCCCCATGCAGGAGGTGACGCGGAGACAGCATCGTGCCCACCTGTCATTGGAAAACGACTCTGAGGGCCCCCGTGGAGGGGGGAGCCACGAGGTATTTACTTGCCGCAGTTCAGACGAGCAGGACGCCAAAGGCCAGCGCTGACCTGCCTGTAACGGTCTAGATTCCGCGGCAAGCTGGGCAGATTTTCAGATCGCTCTTTTAAAACTAAACACCCCAGCGGGAACACAGGCGACTCCGGGAGAACTGGTGATTGTTCAGTAGCCTGTGGGGTGGCTGTCCTAGTTACGAAGGGAATCCAGGTTCCCAGCAGGCGGCACTGAGGTTAACTCTCACCACGCCGGATCGCGGCCAGGATTTGTGGGAAGCAGGCCCTCCGGCTTACCCCCAGACCCCCTCCCCGCCCCCCGGCACAGGTCCCTTGGATGCCCCAGCGTGCCCGGGGTCACCTATGCTCTCGGCTGGCATGGGCTCAGCTGTTCTCTGGTAGAAACTCTTCCTGTGGAGTCACACAGGAGGGGCCTGGATCAGAGGACTCATGTACGGCACTTACGGCTGGCCAGAGGCCTCGTCTGGCAGGCTTTAACGAAGAAAATTAGAATTGTTTAGGGGCGCCTGTGTGGCGCAGTCGGTTAAGCGTCCGACTTCAGCCAGGTCACGATCTCGCGGTCCGTGAGTTCGAGCCCCGCGTCGGGCTCTGGGCTGATGGCTCGGAGCCTGGGGCCTGTTTCCGATTCTGTGTCTCCCTCTCTCTGCGCCCCTCCCCCATTCATGCTCTGTCTCTCTCTGTCCCAAAAATAAATAAACGTTGAAAAAAAAAAAAAAAAGAATTGTTTACAGTGACAAATGAGGAAATTACATATTAAATGCAGGGACTGCCCTCAGCCAGACCCCAACCCCGCACACCATCACTGGATGCCCCCCACCCCAGGCACACCAGCTTGAGGGGTGAAGCGACTGGTCTGTAGGCCCCACGATGCACCCCCCCCCCTTGCCATTAAGAAATCCTAATTCTGGGGCACCTGGGTGCCTCAAGTTAAATGTCCGACTTCGGCTCAGGCAGGTCCCGATTGCACAGTGAGTTCGAGCCCCACGTCGGGCTCTGTGCCAACATATCGGAGCCTGCTTCCCATTCTGTGCCTCCCTCTCTATGCTCCTTCCCCCCACTCGTGCCCTGTCTCCCTCGGTCTCAAAAATAAATGAACATTTACAAAATAAAAAGAAATCCTGATTCTGATCCCAGCCCTGCCGCCTCCTACAAGCTCTAGGACCTTGGGCAGGTGGCCCACACCCGTTTCCTCATCTGTAAGGAGGGGAGATGGACGTCCCACTCCCCGGGGAGGCCAGGAGAACTGGGTACGGGAGCCTCTACACACACATCGGTGCCGCTGAGGTCGGAAGTGTTCTCTGTCCCGCAATCACTGCGACACACACCGGTGCGAACCGTAAACTTTTATTAATGGAAAATGGAATGCCTCATTAACAGAAATCTTGTCTTAAAAATGGCAGAGATCACGTTTATTTAAAAAAAAAAAAAGTGAATTCACATTGTATTGAGCTACAACATGGTGGCAGGATTTGCTTTTTGTTTCTTAAAAGATTCCACAAGTTCAAGGTAACTCTGGCTGAGATTCAACAGTGCATCTGCCTACCTGGAAACTCGGAGTGGGGTTTAGTAGCGGCGGGTGAAGTGGGGATACGGGTGGGGGTGGGGGTGCGGAACTCTGCTGCCCCGGTCCTGGCCGGCCAGTCCACCTTCCAGTCCGCCACCGGGCACCATGTGACCCTGGGAATGCCCGCCTTGTGCAAAGCCGCCTCGCCTAGGAACAAAGGCACACGTTTGTCCCCTTGAAGTGCTTGCTGCTCTCACCGTTCTGTGGCGAAGCGCATGGCTGTGCAGCCTTTACGGCCCGTTGGCTCTTCCAGGTGAGGGAAATCAGAATCACAGACTGAGCTCCGGGTAAGTGTCCGGTGCGACTTGCATAAGCTGCCAAGAGCTGCTTTTTGGGTTTGTTTTCAAAACATTCAACCCGGCAAACTGACCAAACGTGCAAAGAAGGGAGAGGAAATGAGGAGTGGGAACAAATCAATTTTATCTGAGCGCAAAACTTCTTACCCCGACATCCCGCCCCGATTTGCCATGTGTCCTGGCCCCGAGGGCCCAGAGAGGCCCCTCTCACCACCTGGAAGAAAAGAAAGACTTTGCACACACTCCCTTCTTAGAAGCGCCTGGAAGCCTCTGCAACCGCTGGAGGGACCAGTCCCCAGGGAGCGTCCTGGGAACCCTCCTTCTACTCCTGGGCACAGGTCAGCCTGTACCTTGCCACCGCGCGTGCTCCCGGCCCGCCGTGCCTGCGTCCACCGAACCCGGCCACACGCGCTCCTGATGCTCCGCCCAGTCACGTCCAGCCCTGTGTCAAAACAAAAAGCCGACCGGAGAGTGTCCCACGTGCCTGCAAGGGGAGGCCGTAGCATGGCCGATCCTGCCCGATGTCACGCGTTTCTGAGAGACAACGGCGAAGCGTGAGGACGGACACGCCCCCACGGAGACCCACGTGGCCAGTAAGCACCCGGAGCAGCTTGGCGCAGCCATGCGCACGGGACGGGAGACCTCCACGCGACCCGCTGGGTTGGCCGGTGGCAAAGGGACAGACGCTGGGCGCTTCGGAGGACGTGGAGACAGCGATCCTCACACGTGGCTGGTGAGAACGGACAACAGTGCGGCAGGCTGACCCCGGGACCCAGCGAGTCCACCCCTGGTCATCTACCCCAGGGGAATGGGAAACACATTCACGGGAAGACCCGCGCACGAATATGCTTAGCAGCAGGATCCTCTGACAGCCCCAAGGTGAAACCACCCCAATGGCCAGCAGCTCATGAGCGGGAGACGCAAAACGTGGTCTCTCCACATGTGGCCTGTTACTGAACCCCAAGAAGGAATACGGCTCTGACCCCGGTGACCGTGTGACCGGACCTTGAAAACAGTGTGCTGAAAGAAGCGGGACACAAAAGGCCATGACACGTGATTTCACTTGTGTGAAACGCCCACAACAGGCCAGCCCAGAGACAGATGGTGGATCGGGGGTGCAGGGGCTGCGGGGTGGGGAGGGACCGGGGAGTGACTGCTAAGGGAGCTTCCCTTGGGGGTGGACTGTGGTGATGAGCGTACAACTCTTGAATAACGTTAAAAAACATCAAATCGCACACTTCAAATGGATGAACCATATGGCACGTGAATAAAGCTCAAAAGAGCTGTTTAAGAAAAAAAAAAAAGTTTCAGTGATTCAAACCAAAACAGAAGTCCAATGTGCGGCCACCAGCGGCCACCAGGCGTGTCCAGGAAAGCTTCCCAGACTCAGGCTGAGTCTGGAATGGTCAGAGTACCAGCTGCCAGGCCGGCCAGTGCGCAGAGCCGCGGGCAAGGAGCCCATCAGAGCCCCCAACATCTGTCCTCGAGGGTGAAGGCGAGACTGCCCCGCACTGGGTGATAGCCACCCAGCCCTACAGTGACGGTGCTCAGTGTCCCCTCTTGTCTGCAGAGGAGCTCCCCGGTTACATTTCCCATGGATATTTAAGGCAAAACGGACAAAATGGCATTCAAGGACCGAGAGCTCAACGGGTCACCTGGGGAAGAAGACTTTTCATTGCTCCTCTACCGGAGTGGTGCACCCTTCGCTCAACCCCCTGAAAACCCACCTCGAGGCAGAACCTTCTGACATGCAAAGACCTGCCTTAAAAACACCTACAGGCCCCTGGGGCACAGGGGCGGGGATGTCCTGGGGCAAGTCTACGAAAGGATCCAGGGCGGTGTCCCTCAGCAGGCAGGGACCCCCAGAGCTGCCCGCTGCCTACCTGGGTGGGGGCGGCGGCCCCCGGCCCTCACTCATCCTCTTGTCGGAGCCGTAGCCCCCCCAGCTGTCTCGGGAGTCTCGGCTATGGCGCTCTGGTGGTCCTCCGTGGCCGTGGCGTTCATCTGAGTAGTGCTGGAAGGCACAAGAGGGACAGGGCACCCTGACCATGCCATTCTTGGACGGGCCTGTGAACCTGCAGATCCTGCTGCAGCCGGCCAGGGTGTGGCCCCAAGGGGACCTGTCCGGGCCCCTTCCAAACCTCACACCTCACCACAGAAGCTCCTGGTGGGCCCTCTGCTTCCTGATCCCCTCCTTGCTCGAGAACTCTTGGGCACCCCTAGAGCTCCATCTCTGGCACCACATAAAGTGCCAGCGGAGGCCTCTCTGGCCCTGTGAGCTCGGAGAGCCCTGCACTTGATGGCTCTGCTGAAGGGTCCTCTGAGAGGGTCACTTAGTCCTCCCCAGAAGAATCAGGACACTTCCTTCTTGCTGATGCCAGGAGGGCCCCTCCCACACCCCGGGACAGGCAGTGCCCTCAAACCCCTGTGCGCACCATTCTATGGAGGCAGCAGAGGCCTGTCTATGTGACACTGGAGGCAGGTGCTGAGGACGGGAGCCACTCCGTGCCCCTGGCCAACCGCCAACCGATCCTGTGCTCAAAAACCCAGCACGTCTTTGTGGCGAGACATAATCGCATTTTAAAAAGTATTTTAAAAAGGCATGAATCTGATGCCCATCCCCTACCTCTCTCTTGGAGAGCTCCCCTTTTCTCTGAGCATCCCTCACAGGGCACCTGCAGATTACCAGAGACACAGGAACCCTCCCCCGCCCCAACACAGGCAAAAGGCCTCCCCCATTTGGGATACTGCGGGGCAGCTCACAATACTGAGACTCAAAGACTTATCTAAGCAAGTGGACAACCCAGAGATGCTTGCAATCTACTAGAGCCAACGGAACAAAAACAAACCCTACGTACTGGAAACACACGTAGAACTCCGTAATCAGAAAACAATTACGCACACTTCACTCACCCTCGCCCACCCCAACACAAAAGCAGGGCGCCCCCAGGCTTGGGGTCGGGTTTTACTTACTTGCCCATCTCGCTCTCCCATCACTGACCTTGAACCTTCTCTCCTGCAAAAGGGAAACATCTCATTCCAACAGCTGCTGATGGCACTAGACAACATTTCGGCAGGCCACACACAAGAGTTTTCCACAACTGGGGTACTTATTCTATTTCACCAAGTAAGAACTGTAATATGCTGGCCTGTGAAAAAAAAGCTGGCTTACATCTAAAGCCTTCTTCCAGGGAGTAGGAGTGAAGCTGGATCCTAAGAAGGTGGGAATAAAAATTTTACTGAACTAAAGTCCCTTGGAGGGATCTCAGAAACAGAGGCCCAC